TTACAAGACAATAAAAATACTTTCACATTAATTAAAATGTTTTTAAATTAGTAGCTGTGAACATGCAGGACTTCCATCCACCTCCAGGGACTGCTAAAGGACCTTTAACACCCCTGCTTTCCTTGACCTTTCAGTGTAAAGATGGCTGCAACAAGCACAAAGCGACATGCAGGTGAGAGAGATCTGCTGGTAGGCGATTAACTTGATCCATTTTGTTTTACAGTGTTCAGTTCACTTTGTTTCAACTGTTTATCCATCCAAGCACGGCAATTCTTTGGAAGGAGAAATGAAAACATTATTCTTTTATTTTTATGCATGGTTTTGGAGTAATGGTTATTAGTAATTGGGTTAATAGTTTATTTTTACTTTTTTTTAAACTTTTTTTTTTGCTATTCGTGCATGAATTAGGTAACATTATAATAAAACACAGACTAAATTTTCTTGGCTATGCAGAGATAATTGTATATTTATGTATGAAGAAAGGCCTATTTAACTGCGGGCGTGCCTTAAACCTATAAATGCCTGAATGTGCTTAAATTTTTTAAATTTCCAAATTCAGACAAAATTGAGGTTGCAGTATTTGTCCCTAAAAATCCCAGAAATATGGTGTCCAACCAGATATTTACAGAGCTGAATGGGGTATACCATCCATCTTTTTCTCCCAGCAGTGTCCCCGAGATGTCCTGGGAGGCTCACAGGCCAGATGAGATAATGACATCCTTTCAATTTGTAACATTTTAACAGTTTTAATTTCTGAAACAAAGGCTTAGCATATGGTAAAAATGCCAAAACAATGCACTGTTAATCTGGTGGAAACACTTGTAAGCACCAAGTATTAGCAGTAGATGGCAGCAGTCTTTAGGCAAGGCAAGGCAAGTTTATTTGTATAGCACAATTCAACAACAAGGTGATTTAAAGTGCTTTACAGAGACATTAGAAACAAAAACCATCACAAAAATCATGATTTAAAATTAATTAAAACAAGCAAACAAACAAACAAACTAATTAACAAACAAACAAACAAACAAACAAACAAAACAGTATATAAAATCAAAACAGATAAAATCAGAACAGTAGATAAAATCAGTAGTTAAAATGTAAGTTTTGAAATTTAAGCTTAAGTGC